CCTGCACTCAAACTGGGAGAGGAAAAGGCAGAGCAAACACTTCAAGACGTAGGCATGGGGCACCAACTTTCTGAAAAGGACTCCAACTGCTCAGGAAATAATGCCAACAATTGAGAAATGGGGATTTCATTGCATCAAAGGTGTCTGCATAGTAACACCGCAAAGATACCTACTGAATGGGAAAAATCTTCAACTACACACTTTACAGAGGGTAAGAACTACAAAGAACTCAAAAATGAAGTAACAAGGAATCAAAAACCCAATCAATAAATGGGCTAATGAAAGGAACAGTCAGTTCTCAAAAAAAAAAAAAAAAATGAAACACACGTGGCCAAAAACATGAAAAATGTTCAATTTTACTAGCCATTAGAGAAACGCAAATTAGAACTACAAGGGGATCATCTCTCCCCCTAATGAGAGTGGCAGTCCTTAAGAAAACACGGAGCGCTTACTGGTTAGCAGCTACCAGTTCAACTGGAGAGCCCATCTCAAAAACTAAGGTGGAAAGTGACCGAGGGAGACTTCCAATATTGACCTCTGGCCTCCACATACATACATATGAACACACACACACACAGTGAAAAAGTTAAAATTTTGAATTTTTCAAATGTATTTACTTTGTATGGGTAGGTGTGTGCCCACTTGTCTGTAGGTGTACCAAGCGCATGCAGTACCTGCGGAGGCCAGAAGAAAGTTGCAGATCTCCTTGGAACTGGAGTTACAGTTGTGAGCCACCCGATGTGCATGCTGGGAACCAAACCCAGGTCCTCTGCAAGAGCAGCCACATGCTCCTAATGGCTGGACCATCTCTCCAGCCTCCAAAAATTTTAATTTTGACAAAGCTGAATTATCTTTTCCTAAATCAAGACAATTATGGCTTGTTTAAGATAGCTTTTCTTGGTGTGTTGACACACACCTATAATCCCAGTACTCGGGAGGCAGAGTCAGAAGGCTTGCCACAATCATAAGATTACCCTGAACTACATAGCAAGTTCAAGGCTAGCCTAAGTTACATAGAAAATCCAAAGCTACTCTGGGTTACAAACATCCTGTATCAAAAAGAAAAAGAAAAAAAAACTTTCATAATAAATCCAAGTTTAGTAACATAATCTCCTAGTTTTCTTCTTGAAGTTTTATAGTTCTAGCTTTTCCATTTTGGTTTGCATTCTATTTTATTTTTTTGTTGTATGTGGAGGTAGAAGGTCCCTCCATCCATCCACATACGATGTACTATCACTCTAGCATCATTTTCAGAAAGGGCGATATCTGTCCATATTGAACTGTCCGGACAACTTGCTGAAAATGAGCTGTCCATAGTGTGTGGAGGTCTGTTTCAGATTATCCATTCTGACAACTGATGTATGGCTTTACACCAATACCATACTCTTTTGAAGTCAGGTAGAATAAAACAAATTTATGTTAAGGACTCTAAATCCTTTGGGTTTCTGTATGAACTTTGAAATCTGCTTATCAGTTTCTAAGATCATTTTGATTGCTAGGAAGCTACAGCAACCAATTTGGAAAGAACTGACACCTTAATACTAAACTTCCTGGGCAGTGGTGGCGCATGCCTTTAATCCCAACACTCAGGAGGCAGAGAAAGTGGATCTCTGTAAATTCGAGTCCAGCCTGGTGTACAGAGAGTTCCAGGTCAGCCAGGACTACACAGAGAACCCCTGTCTCAAACAACAACAAAAACACCAAACTTCCTGACCCATAAACAAAGTATGGCTGTCTACATATTTGACCTTCGACTTCTCTCCATAGTTTTATACTTTTAGTGTACAATCTACATCATTTTACAACTTTTGTCTCTCACATGTTTATAAACACTTCATTTTTTTATTCTAGAAAGTTTCCATTGAATAAATGGTATAACTCCCAAGTAAAACCATCTGTGGCTGTAATTTTCCTTAAAGGGAACTTTGTAACTACAGATTCAACTTCTATGCAGACATGGGGACTTTCAGGTTAAGGGATTTGGCATTTGACATCTTTGAAATAATATGGCATTTCCTCAGAAGTGCTGTGTGCTGGCTTTATCTCATCCAGCACACTCCTGGCTCTCTCTTGGACCCTGCTAAGTCACTCCTGGTCACGCTCTGCTGTCAGCACTTTCTTTCCTTTTCTGTCTTCTCTTCAGTCTTGCTAGAGACGCACCACTTTATTAGTCTTCTCCATGACAGAGTTCTGGTCTTCACTGATTTTTCTCTATTACTTTCCATATTTCACAGACTGCTGCTGATTATAACCTTACAAATTACTTTTTTGTTTGCTTCACTGCCTTCCTCTTTGTTTCAAAGGCATTTGCTGCCTTTGAATGTTACTTTTGGCCCTACCCACAAAGTTTGGAATGTTCTGATTTTGTTTTTGTTTTCTTCATCTCCTGTGATCTGTGGGTTATATAGATCACTTTAGTTTCCAAATACTTGAAGGCTTTCTGAGTATCAACTGGGGTAGAGCACATACTTTTTCTACAACTTGCAATCTCTTAAAATTTATTAAGTTTGCCTTATGGCCCATGCAATGTCCTAACCATTAGTACTTAGTGTTTTTTTCTTCGGCTGTTAGGTCAATTTCTATAAACAAATCAAGTTGGCTGATAGTGTTGCTCAAACCCACTTTACTTTTTTAAAAGACTTATTCTTCTCTTTAAATTACTTTATTATTTTGTGTGAATGGGTATTTTGCCTGCATGTATGTCTGTATCACAGGGCATGGCCTGAGGAAGCCAGAAAAGAAAATTGAATCCCCTGGGACTAGAGCGAAAGAGTGAGCCACCATGCAGGTGCTGGGCATCAAACCTGGGTCCTCTGAGTTCTTAACCACTGAGCCACCACTCCAGCCCAGTAGTATGCAGGATATTTGTGACCCACAAAAAGGTCACGACCCACAGGTTGAGAACTGCTGCTCTAGCCCCTTATTTTTGTTTCAGTACATGAATGTACAGTGCCCACAGAAGCCAGAAGAGGGTACTGTTCCGTGTACTATACAAAAGTGTGACAGACACCACCTTATTCAGTTTTATTTCTTCATATAAAATAAATCGACCTTTTTGCATTTTTACCTTTTTCAGAGTTTAACAAGAATGAACATTATGGGCTGGCATGCTGGTAAAGGGGCTTGCCACCAAACTTGATGGCCCAACTGTGACCTGCTGAACCCATATAGAAGGAGAAAACTAATTCCCACAAACTGTCTTCTGACCTCCACGTGTGTGACATGTCACATGTGTACCCCCATAAATAAATAAAAATAAATTTTTATAAAGAATACATATTTCATTAGACTAATGGTTCTCAACCTGTGGGTTGCAACCCTTTTCAAGGGGTCACATATCAGATAGCCTGCATATAAGATATTTATATTATGATTTTTTAACCATAGCAAAAGTATAGTAATTAAGTAGCAATGAAATAATTTTATGGCTGGGGGTCACCACAACATGAGGAAATGTATTAAAGGGTCACAGTGTTAGGAAGGGTGAGCTACTGCATTAGATCATGTTATGATATGTTGATTATATGACTTTGAATATTCTCCTTGATTAACAGAGTGGCTTTGAGTTCCTGATTTTGACTTTACTTACCTCTGGTGAATATACATGTTGTTTTTTTGGTTTTTGTTTTGTTTTTTGTTTTTTGTTTTTTTTTCGAGACAGGGTTTCTCTGTGTAGTTTTGGTGCCTGTCTTGGATCTCACTCTGTAGACCAGGCTGGACTTGAACTCATAGAGATCCGCCTGGCCCTGCCTCCTGAGTGCTGGGATTAAAGGCATGCGCCACCACTGCCCAGCTGAATATACAGGTTTTTAATGTGAGGTTATACACTGCCTGCTAAAACAGTGTGTGTGTGTGTGTGTGTGTGTGTGTGTGTGTGTGTGTGTGTGTGTAGAAAGTTTCCAAGATAAGTCTGTAATGAATTTTATTTGGGGCTAATAATGCCTTTTCAAGAGAGATCTTTCAAAGTTATCACCAAATCTACTATTATGAATTTGAGAATCATAACCATAAAGCAACCAAATAATAAATTAGAACTAGGAATCTGGTTTCAAGCCACCAGGTATGACTGAGCAGAAAACACGGCAGAGGAAGTAGTCAAGACTACTGTCACACCCAACGGGAAGACCCACTACTTAATGAGATAAGTCAGTATATAGGGATGAGATAGAAAGATGGGATATTTACGGCATTACTCCCTTTTATGAAAATTCTCTTTTTAAACAATCCAGAAAGAGATAGCTAGTTATAGCTACATTAAAATATGTATTAACTATGTTTCACTCTGGTTGTACCCTGCTTCTGATCATTCACTCCCTTATTTACTCTTGTACACCAAGCACTGGGTGTGGAAGACACGTGTAAGCCTCCTCCCTCAGTAAGTTCACAGGCTGTGAAGGGCTGCTCATATGTACAGGTCAGGAGCAGCTGTACAGGCTCTGGGGCCAGGATCCATAACAAATGAAATGGCTATGGGAGAAGCTTTATTTACCAATCAGAGGGTGGCCAAATCTGCTCCTACAGGCTGTACCTTCCTGCCCTGTTCTAGTGGAAACAACACAATTTTAACTTATATGACAAATGCAAAGGAAGAAGGGCACATAAAAACTTCATCTATGAAAATCAACAAAAGTAGGGCATGAGGGTGCACGCCTTTAGTCCCAGCACTCAGGAAGCAGAGGCAGGAAAATCTCTGTGAGGTTGAGGCCAGCCTGGTCTACACAGTGAGTTCCAGGACAACCAGGGCTACACAGAGAGACTCTGTCTCCAAAACAACAACAAATCAGCAAAGGCTCTGAAAGAAAGCAAGTCTAAAGAGTTTGTTTTCTTAAATTCAGCAATTACAAGTAATTGTTTTCAAAATGTGCCACTATTAAAAAGTAACTCAAAATCTCATTCTGAAAAGGTTGAAAATACTTGACTATAAAAGAAATGCTTTATTATATAATATTCTCGTCTAAATGTTTGACAAAAATGACTCAGTGAACACTCTGGAAGCTTACCTTGAGTGACTGTTTTAAGGACAATCAAGGTTGATAAAAATCTCAGCGGCAAACTGGAGCTCCTGAAGAATACTGCTGTCTTTGGTTTGTTCTCTACAGAATGCTCTGAAGAATTATCCTGAATTCCTTTAATTGCCACTCCTTTAAATATGTCTTCACCCAGTCTCCTCAGTGTTGAGGTCATAGTTGAATGCTGTTAAAAATACATGCAATCATCTATTTGAAATACTTAATCAAATTTATACATAAAGCAAACATTTATGAAAAATAGAATAGAAAAAATATGCAAACTTAGTATTAATACTGTATAAATAACTTTTAAAACCCAAGTATGGACTTCTTTTTCTGAAATGTTTTCCTAAGAAACTAAGATCAGGCTAAATCTGGCATAGAGAAGTATCAAAAGAAGAGAGTTGGACTCTGAGCTCACCACTTTTCTCTGTTGGGAGCCAGGCCAACCCAAGGTTTTCTCAGAGGCCCTGACGAAAAGATGATGTCAGCAGGAAGCTAACCAAGCAATGTTGCACAAAGGGACACAGGGTATCTCAAGTGCAGCACAGACTGAGCACACAGTGGCCTGGGGACGGATAACTGCAGTCTCTTCAAGGAGGAAAAGCCAGGCTCCGAAGAACTAAGGTTCCGCTCCAGCCTCAGACCAGATCTTGCCAAGACTGCCCCTGGGCAAGGATGAAGAAGTGTTTGCTTATCAAACGACTAACTTCTTCGCGTTTTCAGCTCAGTCTCACTATAAATACCCCCAGTGACTCTGAGAACTTAACAATTTCAAAAGAAGAAAATACTGGGTCAGAATCATAGAAAATTCTCATGGGATAAATTTCAACAAGAAAATGGACAAAACAAAAATAATGGTACAGAATAAGGTATCTCTAGAATAACATGGGATCTGGTGATCTTCTACAGACTTGTTATGACTCAAACGAAAGGAAACCATTTCAAACTGCTGAAAATGAGAATGCTTAAGCTAGACTTAGAAATAACTTAAAAGTTTCTGTGTTGTGACTTAATTCTTCCAGCCCTTATCATTGATTTTCGTAATGATTTTCCACATCTTCATGAGGATTTGTAAACTGATTCTAAGCTCAGCATTGATCCTGCAATGTGGAGAACACATTTGTACACTCAAAACTAGAAACAGACATTCTGAGATTTGGGATATCAAATGATTGGGCAGTGAGTGGCATGGACAATGCAATCTGATTTAAATGTACTGTAAATAAGATTTTAGTACTCCTGAGGAAAAGTATATATTTTTAATAGCATGTAGACTGTTTCTATTTTTAAGCCTAAAATAATTAAAACTTGTATCATTCAAAAAAAATTTTAAAGCTGAGTATCGGTGGTGCATACCGTTGATCCCAGCACTCAGGAAGCAGAGGCAGGCATATCTCTGTCATTTCGAGGGCAGCCTGGTCTACAAAGCCAGTTCCAGGATAGCTGAGTTGTCACTCAAAGAAACACTGTCTCAAAAAACAAAACAAAAATTTTTTAAAGAAAAAGGAAATTACATAATAAAACAGGGTCACTATACCAAGAAAGCGCAATAATCCTAAATGTATATCCACCAACCAACCAAGTTGTAAAATATAAAGCAGGCTGGAGAGGTGGCTTGGCTGTTAAGAGCACTGCCTGCTCTTGTACAGGACCCAGGTTGGGTTTCCAAGGCCACACGGCAGTTCACAACTGTCTCTAACTCCAACTCCAGGGAGTCAGAGGCCCTCTTCTGATCTCCGGGGGCAATGCATGTAAGACATATGTACACTCACACACATAAAAGTTTTTAGGTTATGGGGCTGGAGAGATGGCTCAGCAGTTAAGGCCCCGGGTTCAATTGCCAGCACCCACATGGCAGCTAACAACTGTCTGTAACTCCAAGATCTGATCCCTTCACACAGACATTAATGCAAGCAAAACACCAATGTACATAAAATAAGAATAAATAAATCATATTTCTAAAAAATTTTAGGTTAATTATCTAATGTGAGACAAAAACAGATGATGCAAGACAAACACAAATGTACAAGCATAACATAACTTGAATACACTACCCTCAACTACTGATAGTAGAACTAGACAAAGTATCAGTGAGGATACAGAACTTATAAATACCACCAGTTAACATTTATAAAACACTCCACTCAACAACAGAACAACTTCAACAATACAGCCACATCAGCAAAACAAAAACAGCAAAAACTAAAACAAACTTCTAAATAATCCACACAGTGAAAAGGAAGTTCTACTGGAATTAAAAAACCAGTAGGAACTGTGAACAAAGGGACTGGAGAGCCGGCACAGCAGCTATGAGGGTTTGCTGCTCTCGAAGAGGACTGCAGTTCAGATCCCAGCACCTCAGCCACGAAGCTCACAACTGCTTCTAACTCCAGGCCCAGGGGCTCTGACACCCTTGTCTAGTACAAACCCACACACAGACACACACATCCATGCACAGAAATACAAATAAAACAAATATTTTTTAAAATGTAAATGAAAATGTGACGCATCAAAATATGGGGGATAAGGGGTAAGGGAGATGCCTCAGGTGGCTAAGAGCCTGCTGTACAGGCCTAAGGACCTCAGATGAATCTCCAGCACTCCCATCTGTAACCCCAGGATTGAGGGACTCCTGGGGTGGCAGACATAGGCAGATCCTTGGGCACCACTAGACAGCCATTTTAACCACTCAGTGAGCTCCACGTTCAGTGACAGACCCTGTCTCAAAAAGGTGGAGGGCTTTTAAGATTGCTCAGAGGGGCATTTGTTCTACAAGTCTTGTGACCTGACCCTGGAATTTTCAGAAAGCTAGAAGAAGAGAACCAACTCCACAAAGCTGCCCTCTGACCTCCACACACATGCTGTGGCACTCATGCCCACACACATACTTCATGCATACATACATATACAATAGAAGTAAATATTAAAAATAAATAAGTAAATAAGATAGAGTGACTGCAGAAGATTCCTTACGTCTATCTGTCCTCTATACTCATATACAGAGAGAGAGAGAGAGAGAGAGAGAGAGAGAGAGAGAGAGAGAAAGAGCTGGCATGCTGGCATGCACTGTAATCCCAGCACTCAAGAGGCTGAGGCACAGACCTGTAAGTTAAGGCCAGACTAGGCTACATAGTAGGACTAGTAAGACTGTATCAATCAAACACTACCACATACACAAAAGGACAGTCTCAATTGAGTAATCTAAATTTTCATTTCAGTCACCCAGAAACAAGAGTGCAAAATAAACTTAAAACTAGTAGAAGACAATAAAAAGAGAAGAAATTACTTAAATTGGAAACAAAAAAGGAGAAAGCCAGTAAAACAAAAGAATTATTCTTTGAAAGATCATTAAAAAAATGTTTAGGAAAAACAACCACAGTAAAGACAGAAAAGCCCACAACTTCTCCACACCGATGTGGAGCAGAGCTACCATCTGGACACTGAGGCACATGAGAGAGAAGGCCACTGTCAGACAGTCAGTCACCTTGCAGCAGCTGACCTCAGACAGCCAAACATACTGTGCTTTCATTTCACCTCTACAGTCCAAGTACTGGATGTATAGATCTGTCAACAAGACAGAGCGCTTCACTTCCTCAAAAACTACCAGAAGTTAGAAAAATCAGAACAACCCAGTGACTCTAAGGAAAATCTGATCTGGGGCTGTGAGATGTTCAGCAGGGAAAGGCCCCTGCTGCCAAACTTGTCAACCAGAGTTTAATCTTTAGGACCCACATGGTAGAAGTTGTCCTCAAAGCTGTCCTCTGACCTCTACATGACACAAGGACACATGGATACACAAATACAGAGAGAGAGAGAGAGAGAGAGAGAAAACATAATAAAAATTTTAAGAAAAACTGAATTCATAATTTAAAACTTTCCCTCAAATAAATCTCAGGGCTAGAGAGATGGTTTAGTGGTTAAGAGCACTTACCGGTCTTGCAGAGGACCTGGGTTCAGTTCCCAGCACCCACATAGCAACTCACAACCCTTTGTAATTCCAGTTCCAGGCTATCCAATGATCTTCTTTGCCTCTGTGGACACTGCACACACACACATGGTACATCTACACACATGCAAGCAAACATTCATATAAAAAGAAGAAAATAAAAAAAGAATAAAATCTCTAGTTCTCTCCTGAACACTATCTGTTGTGATATTTTGTGTTCTGACAAATAAAGCTTGCCTGAAGATCAGAGGGTGGAACTAGCACTAGTTAACCATAGAGGTCTGGAGGTCTGTACAGACAGGAGACAGGAAGTGATATGGTGGGGCGGAGACAGGAGCTCGCCCCTTTCCATTCTGAGGAGTTGGAGAGGTAAGAGATGACTATGCTCCTTTACTTCTCTGATCTTTCCGGTTTTACCCCGATATCTGACTCTGGGGTTTTATTATTAAGACTAATTAGAATTGCGCATCACACTATCAAATATTTAAAGAATTCATTCTATTCACCTGTGGTGGTTTGAATAGGAATGGCCTCCATAGACTTATGTTTGAATCCTTGGCTCAGGGAGTGGCACTATTAGGAGGTGTGGCCTAATTGGAGAAGTGTGTCACTGTGCAGGTGGGCTTTGAGGTCTTCTATGTTCAAGCTACCATCAGTGTGGCACACAGTCTCCTGCTGCTGCCTGTAGATCAAGATGTAAAACTTTCAGCTAACTCTCCAATACCATGTCTACCTTTATGCTACCATGCTTCTCACCATGATGATAATGGATAAAACCTCTAAACTGTAAGCGAGCCCTAAATAAATGTTTTCCTTTCTAAGAGTTGCTGTGGTCATGATGTCTCTTCACAGCAATAGAAACCCTAACTATACCACCCAATAACCTCTTAGAAATAATAAAGGATGAGATGATTTCAATTTTTTTTTTTTTTTTTTTTTTGGTTTTTCGAGACAGGGTTTCTCTGTGTAGCTTTGTGCCTTTCCTGGTACTCACTTGGTAGCCCAGGCTGGCCTCGAACTCACAGAGATCCGCCTGGCTCTGCCTCCCGAGTGCTGGGATTAAAGGCGTGCGCCACCACCGCCCGGTGATTTTTTTTTTTTTAAATCAAATAGATATAAAACCAGACAAAGTTCAAAACACAAAAACCAAAGACTAATATTCCTTGTTAATCAATTATATGTCTATATGCTGGGGTAGTTTGAATGTAATTGGCCCCCATAATCTCAAGGGAGTCGTACTATTAGGAGGTATGGCTTTGTTGGAGTGGGTATGACCTTATTGGAGGAAGTGTGTCATTGTGGGGGTGGGCTTTGAGGTTTCCTATGCTCACGATACTAGTCAGTGTCTTAGTCAACTTCCTGTTGCCTGCAAGATATAAGACTTTCAGCTACTTCTCCAACACCATGTCTGCCTGTACACCACCATGCTTCCCACCATGATGGTAATGGACTGAACCTTATAACTGTAAGCCACCACTTCAATTAAATGTTTTTCTTTTTAAGAGATGCCGTGGTCATGGTGTTTCTTCACAGCAATAGAAACTCTAAGACACATGTTATCACCATAAACATATGGACAACAAAATTTAACAGATAAAAACCACTCAAAAACTCAAATAGATAAAAAAAACATAATTAAGAGTCCACACATGAATTTTATGCAAAAATTATACAACAATGATACAAAAACATAAGCTGTGAGTGAAAAGATAGTTATATTCCTATGCTGAAAGACTCATCACAGGAAATTGGTATACAAGCTGAATACTATCCCTATCAAAACCTTAGGATGGTATTTTATAGAGAAGACTGCTCTCAAACAAAAGAGGACAGATTGCACACATGGTGTACTACTTATTTTTCTGTGAACATAACCAAGAGAACTGATCCTAAGCAGAGTCTACTAGTAGATAGATTCTGATGAGTCAGTACCTGTGTTCCAGCATCCAGCTGCCTTATAGACCAATAAATAAACTTTATAAATGGCTCGTGCAGTTTGGTGTTCACAAATGGCATCCACTGGAGCTGCTCTGTCATCAGAGGCAGAAGCTGAAGGAGATGGGACACAAAAGCACCGCATATTTAGATATCTGAAATTAATTGCCATGGTTTTCTAAAAATGAACTAAATGACTTTTAGGATTGGTCTATCCATTTCTACAAAGAAGCCAGTTGAAATGTGGATAATGCACTGAATATGCAGATTAATTTGGGGTCGGGAACTGACATCTTTAAAAATATGAGGTTAAGCTGGGCAGTGGTGGCAGCTCATGCCTTTAATCCCAGCACTCGGAAGGCAGAACAGGTGGATCTCTGTGAGTTCGAGGCCAGCCTGGTCTACAGAACGAGATCCAGGACAGGCACCAAAACTACACAGAGAAACCCTGTCTTGAAAAAAACAAACAAAAAATTCTGAATAAAATAAGTCCTGTTATAGCTATAATAAAGTATCACAAAGTATGCTTAAACAACACTTAGTCTGAGGTAGGTCTCAGATGGTTGAGATTAAGATGCCTACCACCCTGTACATGTTTCTGGAGGCTAAGGGGAAGAGTAACCCCTTACTTGGTCAAGTTGCAAGCTGAGCTCAGTTCTCCGCAGTTCTGGCACTGAGATCTATGCTGACTGAGCTGAGGGCGGTATCCAGCCTCAGGAACTGTCTCCTTCCCATTGCTCATTTCCACGGTTGGTCCATCTTCAATGCCAGCAACGATGCACTGAGTATTCAGCCTATCCTAAATCTTCCTTTCCAGCTTAAAGACTCAGTATGCTGGACAGCCTGGAAACCCTGGGAAACCTCCCTGTTTCAAGGACAGCTGATTGGCAATTTTCATTCCTTTCTGTCATGGTTACAGGTTCCAAAGGGCAGAGTGGGAGCATGTCTGCAGCCATTATTCTACCTAGCACAAATGACGTTTTAAAGGACCTTTGTAGTTAAAGATTTAAAAAAAAAAGATGAATATAATTTACTCAAAATCCTGGACTACTTAATAATCATGAAATTATTCCTGAAAATAACAAACAAAACCTGTCGTTTCCTCAAAGTTTTTATACTGTCAATCTCAAAAGACCTGTCATACTAATTACAAATCTTGAGCACTGATATTGACATTAGGAAATATTTCCCTTTGATGATAAAAACCCCACAAAGCAAAGATTTTATCCTTAATCCCCAAATCCAATTAAAAAAAGAATTATACCAATAGGTTTCAAATCTATGATTGTATGTAGGAAGAACTATTCACATCACTGAATAGATGACCATTTTGGCACTTCTAAGCATTTGATTAAGGTCATGTCTCTACTTTAAAAAAACTAACTCCCATCATATTAAGAAAACTACAAATGCATTGCAATACCTGCTTAGGCTCTGGGTTTAATACCTAACAATACTCAAAATAAAGAAAAATTAAATGTACATACAGGAGCTGGAGAGATGGCTCAGTGGTTAAGAGTACTTTCTGCCCTTGCAGAGGACAAGGGTTTAGTTCCCAGAACCCCACGGTGGCTCACAACAGTCTTCTAGCTCCTTGGGCACTGCATGCATTCAGCACACATACATATATGTAGGGAAAGCATGCATACATATAAAACAAACCTTTCAAATTTAGTATGAATTAATATTGAGGTCTGAAATGAATGTTAAAAAGTGCTGGTTTAGACAATTTTCTAGCAAAAATGCGTCTAAGTCAGATATAGAAGCACATATTTATAATCTCAGAAACAGGGAGGCAGTAACAAGAGAATCCTAAATTTAACACCATCCTCAACTACAGAGTGAATTTAAGGACAGCCTAAGTTACACACTGAGAACCTGCCTCACAAAACAAAAATACTTTCAACATTTTCACTTACAAACATGTCAGAAGTTGGGTTGGAGAGATGGCTCAGTGGTTAAGAGCATGACTTGCTCTTGCAAAGGACTGGGATTCAATTCCCAGCATCATGTAGTGGTTCACAGCCATCTGTATGTAATTCTAGTTCTAGAGCAGTGGACCTCAGCCTTTCTAATGCTGCGACCCTTTAAAACAGTTCCTCATGCTGAGGTGACCCCCAACCATAAAATTATTTTGTTGCTACTACATACCTGTAATTTTACCACTGTTATGAATTATAACGTAATTGTCTGTTTTCCAATGGTCTTAGGCAACCCCTGTGAAAGGGTCATCCACCCACCTGCATACATACAAACACACATACACACAAAGGGGTCTCCACCCAGAGGTTGAGAACCACTGTTCTAGAGGATCCAAAACACTCTTCTGACCTCTATAGGTAGCACATACGCATATGGTACACATACATACAGGCAGGTAAAATATTCTCACATAAAATAAAATATATGAATCTAATTTAAAAAATAAAAATGCCAGAGCCAGTGAGATGGCTTAGTGGGTAAAGGAGTCTGCCACTAAGCCTGAGAACCTGAGCTCCATTCTTGGGATCCATACAGTGGGAGGAGAGAACTGACTGAGAGAGAAAGTTGTTATCTGACTTTCATACATGTGTAGTGGTGTGTACCCCCCTCCCCCAATTAAATAAATGGATGTAATCTTTAAAAACTAAACTAAAATAAAAATAAATAAAAATGCCAAAAGCTTTTCCTTACTTAATCTCTTCATGTATTTCAAATTAAAAACAGAACAAAACCTTGGGGGCTGGAGAAACGACTCAGTGGTTTAAAGTACCTACTGCCTTTACAAAGGACCCAGGTTAGGTTCGAAGCACCATCACTGGCTTACAACCTTCTGGAAGTCCAGTCCAGGGGATCCAACACCCTCTTCTGGCCTCCTCAGACACCAGGCACACGGGTGGCACTTACATGCATACAAACAAACACTTACATACATAAAACAAAAAGAAGCGAATCTTAAAAACCAACCTTCACACACTTCTCTTGAATGTCACTTCTCTGGGAAGGTTTGAGTGATGGTTTTTCACCATTCACACTAGGTTCTTCAGGCTCCACTTTGTTAAGATGGTGGTCTGAGATCCAGTCCATGAAAACAATTAACAGTTCATATAATTGTCCATTGAGTGCTGTCTATTGATCAAACATTAAATCAAACATGACTTCAGTTGAAAACCCCATAAAACAAGAATATTATAGAATAATTTACTTAAATAATTTACTTAAATTATTTTTAGACAAGTGTTTAGGTGTTTACTTAAAATGAATTCCAAATCAAACATTGCCTATCGTATTAAGAACATTAAATGCTTGCTTAGATAAGACAAGTAAATTCATCACAATAAGGAAAATAAAATTATACTTTATTGCTATAATAAAAATTTTCAGTGGCTATATTATAGTAGCCCTAGACTATTATCCCATCTCAGCATTAAAGAAAATAAGCAAGAAGATAATGAGTTTGGGGCTGGAGAGATGGCTCAGTGGTTAAGAGCACTGACTGCTCTTCCAGAAGTCCTGAGTTCAATTCCCAGCAACCACACGGTGGCTCACAACTACCTGTAATGAGATCTGGTGCCCTCTTCTGGCCTACAAGAAAACATGCAGACAGAACACTGTATGTATAATAAATAAATAGATCTTTAAAAAAAAAAAAAAAGATAACGAGTCTGAGGAAAAACTGGGTTACACACACACAGTGAGACTCTGTCTCCAAACCAAAAAAAAAATTTTTTTTGTTTTGTTTTTTTCTTGTTGTTTTGAGACAGGGTTTCTCTGTGTGGCCTTGTCCTGGATCTCACTCTGTAGACCCTACTGGCCTTGAACTCACAGAGATCCACCTGCCTCTGCCTCCCGAGTGCTGTGATTAAAGGTGTGCACCACCATGCCTGGCTGAAAAAAATTTCTTTAAATAATTGTCACTAAAATTATTTAAGTTTGATAACACAAAAATGTAAAAGATGGCTTTAATTCAACAGCATGAACCAGCTTATCTAAAAAAAAAAAAAAAGTCTAACAATACAGACTTAACAATTCCCTAAACTAAATAATTTCTATTGTAGGATTTTTGTATTTTCGCCTACAACACTTACTTTCTTAATAATAATAACCTGATATAAACATGATGCACAATTTTCCCCCCTGGAAACCTTATTCTCTGGGAGCCTACCAAAATAGGGGAAAAAAAACAGTAAGACAAAGGTCTGGGATATAACTCAAGAGTAGAACATTGCCTAGCATGTGTGTGACCTGTGCTTGGTCCCATAAAAAATAAACATACATTCAAACCCAAGCTGGGCACACCTGGGAGGGCTTTTCTTGAGTGGACCATTTGAAGGTGTAAGATCCACTGTAAGTCTGGGCCACACCTGGTGACAGCCAAAATAAAAGGACATGGGACGAGGAAGCTTTGCTTTTCGCCTGCTTGCTCTCACTCTCTTGGCTAGTTCATCTGTCCTGCTGCTGAGGCGTTCCTTCGATGGTATTAAAGCCTCCTTCTGATAGACTCCAGTGTAGACCGAAGACCAGCAGCTCTCTAGGACTCTAGCACAAGATCAGGACTGCTGCCTCCTAGACAGAACAACTATCAGCTTCTCAGCCTTCCCATCCAGAGACAGCCACTGTTGGACTACTGGGATCACAGCCTATATGCCACTCTAATACACCCTTCATATAATATATAAATGTGAATATCCATCCATCCATCCATCTATCCATCCATCTATCTATCAGAGCAAGTTTAAGGTCTATCTAGGCTACATGAGATCCTACCTCAAAAAATAAAAACAAGCCAGGTAGTGGTGGCGCACGCCTTTGACCCCAGCACTCAGGAGGCAGAGGCAGGTGGATCTCTGAGTCTGAGGCCAGCCTGGTCTACAGGGCAAGTTCAAGGATGGCCAGGGCTACACAGAGAAACCCTGTCTTGAAAAACAAAAACAAACAATAGTAATAAATAAATAAAATAAAAAACAAAAACGAAACAGCAAAAACAAACAGAATCCTTCCTGCCACACCCCATGAACACAAATAGATCCTACTCCAAAAACTATTTCTGAGTCAGTCTAGCAAAATGGTCTGCCCTATCTTTGACTATTTTTACTTAGCAACTGTCAACTATGAGCCTTAGTTTTACAGAGAAACATCTCTATGTGATGACCAGTGCTTGCAGCTCTCCCAAGTTCAACGAACTTTTGTTTCAGAATAACTGGCAGATGTCTTTCTCCGAATAAAATTCCCAAACTTTGCTTTAATCTCCAGTTACGCCAAAGGCTGACCGGTGCACGTGTCTTGGAGTACAATCTTATTATTGCCAAATAAACGTTCCTGTCTCTCTATTTTTGTTTTCCCAATTTTCATCTGTGTGGTATGAATATGTGTGTATGCATGTTTTCACATGGTATGGGAGTATATGCCTATGAGGTCTGAGATTGATATCATGAATCATTCTAGATGGCTCTTATACAATATTCATTATGTTAGGGTCTCTCATCAAACCCAGAGCTCACAGATATGCTGGTCTCCTTAGACAGCTTGCTCTGAGAACCCTGTCTCTTCTTAGTGGGGAATTAGAGGCCGTCAGCTAAACTGATGCAGCCTTTTGTGCCTTTACAAGGGCTTCGGGGATTAGAACCCTGGTTTTCATGCTTGTGTGAATACCCTGCAGACACTTTCCCTTTGAGTCATCTCTCCAGCCCCTGTCTCTGTATTTTGCTTGACAATGACACCTTCAAAACATAGTTTTGGTTAATTTAATTCACTATTCCTCACAATAATTAATTATTAAATTATGAAGTGTACTAGGCGTAATTATTCTTTTTTAAATGTGCAAAGCCAGGGCTAGGGATGTAGCTCAGCTGGAAATTTGTCTTTTGTCTAAATCAAAGGAAGTTCAGTCTCCAGCACTGCAGAAGACAGGTGTGATAGCCCATGTCTATCATCCCAGAATTCAGGAGGTGGAGGCAGGAGGATCAGAAGTTTAAGGTCATTCTCAGCTACAGAGTGAGTTCAAAGTCAGCCTAGGCTACCTGTGACCCTACTGCAAAATAAATAAAATAAAAATACAAAAACAAGCCAGGTGCAGTGGTTCATCCCTGCAATACCAACATTCACGAGGTGGAGGCAGGAGGACTCACGTAATTTTAGCCAAAACTGGACTACATAGGGAGAGCTCCTGCCTCAAAGGGAGGAGACAAAAACAGAGATACAAGTGTGACTTAATAAATATACAACAGTAAGCAGAGTCTTAAGGGCAAAATCAGGCAACTGAAAAAAGTGGTGAACAGCTGCCACATTTTTGAAACAAGAATAATTTTAATATGTTTACTTACTTATTTATTGTACATATGATGCATACATGTGTGAGTGAGAGTGTGCTTATGTAGAGGTCAGAGAACAACTATGAGAAGTCAGTTCTCTCCTACAGTGGGTTCAAGGAATCACTCAGAATGTCAATCTTGGTTGGCAAGAATATTTGCCTACTGAGCCATCTCACTGGCCTACAAGAATAATTTTTTAAAGACTTATTCATTTATTTATTATGTATACAGTGTTCTGCCTGCATGTATGCCTGCACACCAGAAGAGGGCATCAGATCTCATTACAGACGGTTGTAAGCCATCATGTGGTTGCTGGGAATTGAACTCAGGACCTCCGGAAGAGCAATCAGTGCTCTTAACCTCTGAGCCATCTCTCCAGCTGCTATAAGAATAATTTTAAACCTCATTTTTTTTTCAAATAGAAACTAACTAACTTTAGATGAAACTTCAATAATCCTGGTTTCTGGCTACAAATTTTTTGAATATTTACTTATTTATATTTTATGTATATGAGTGTTTTGCCTGTATGTATATCTGCAAACCATGTGTATCCACTGTCTGCAGAGGCCAGAACAAGGTATTGGATTCCCTGGAACTGGAGTTAGAGAGTTGTGAGCCACTATGTGGGTGCTGGGAATTGAACCCAAGTCCTCTGAAAGAACAGCCAGCCAAACTATCTCTCCAAGTGGGTACCTGGGTATAAAATCTCCACCTTTTTCCAATTTACATAGAGAACTACAAAATATATAAAAAAGATTAAAGTCTACAGTAAGATACAATTATACATATATTAGAAGGGTCAAACTAAAAAGGATTAAAATTGCCAAATGCTGGCAAGTTTGTTACATAAACAGAACTTTCATACATTGCTAGAATTATAAAATGGTACAATCATTTTGGAAAATAGACATTTTCTTAAAAATACACATCTACCTTATAGCTCAGAAATCCAGGTTCTAGTATATAGTGAAGAATGCAAACATATCTACAAAATCCTTGTATGTGAGTATCTGGAGCACTTTTAAGGTACAAAAAGTAAAGACAACACAAGTGTCTATCCACAGAATGGATGAGTGAACTGTGAAAAATACATACAGTGGAATACTACTGACCACACAACTGATACAACCAATGTGATGCTGAGAAAAGAAAACCCTTAACTAAGTGAGTATATACTATGCAATTCTACTGGCTAAAGCTATACAATAGGCCAACCATGGATGATAGAACCCATGTCAACAACTGCTTCTGATGGGCAAGAATGAATAGGAAAGAGCAGAGAGGAAAATTTGAGTGTTGTATTTGTACATGGCATGAGGAAAAGCATTTACCAAAACTAATCAAACTTTACATGATGTTTGTAATCTAGTATGTTGTTTGTTATATGTGATTTATACTTCAAGTTAAAAAAATTATGGATTCACAGAGCCCATTCAGGGATAGTATTATGATCTGAATAGCAAATGTTGCCCCAAAAGGCAATGTTGAGAGGCACAGCTTTGAGAAGCAAAGGAACTAGATCATGAGAGTTCTGATTCAATGATGAATTAACGGTGACTTAACCAATGATAAATAACCAATGAGTTAATCATTGATGAACTCATAACATGATGACATTATTGGAAGAAGGTGGACACTCGGAAGTGGGGCTCTGTTGGAGGAATGTCACTGGAAGCATGCCCTTGAAGGACATACTTTGTTCCATGCCTTCCTTCAACTCTGTTTCTGGCAGGTCTGCTTCTCTCCATGTCCTTCTGTCATGAAGTGCTGCCTCACCACAGGCCCTGCCCTAGTTTGCCTTTTATTGCTGTGATGGACACTAAGACCAAAGCAACTTGTGGAGGGAAGGATTTATTTGACTTCCACAACCTGACCACAGTTCATCATAAAAAGAAGCCAAGAAAGGGACTCCAGGCAGGAACCTAGACACAGGAACTGAAGCAGAAACCACAGAGAAGTGCTGTTCACTGGCTTGCTTCCTGTGGCTTCTTCAGCCTGCTTCCTTATACCATCCAGGACCACCTGCCTATGGGTGGCACCTCACAGTAGAGTAGACCCTCCCATATCAATCAGCAATTAAGAAAATGCCACAGACTGGCCTACAGGTAATCCGGTAAGGAAAATACCCCTATTAAGAGTCTCTTTTTCTAGATGATTCTAACTTGTGTCAAGCTGACAAGGAAAAAAAAACCTAACAGGCCACAAAACAGTGAACTAAAATAAATCTGTTGAGCAAATCAAGTAAGTTGACAAAAAAGCTACATAGATGGGTGTGATTTTGATAGGAAAATAACTTTATTAACAACAGGTAACCTTAAAGAGCCCTGTGACTAGTCAATGTCACTGGAACTAAAACAGCGCTGAAATACTTTGTTTTTGCCATATATATAATACATATATAATATATATTATATAATATATAATATTTTAATATATAATATATATGCATATATTAAAATATTCCACATACTTCTCTGTAAAATAATTAAGATGAATTCTTTCAAAAAATATATTTTGCTTAAAATAGAAAGAAAAATGATTAAAGGATAAAAGAAAATTTCTTGGCTCTCCATTAGAGGAATTTTAATCATATCATACCTTGAAAGGTTTTGAAACCGGTACTTTTTCTTGTTTTAAATTTTTCATTTCAGGAGCAGCATGGGAATCTCCTTTCAGCTTCTGTACTGTCAAGAACTCATACTTCCTCTGCCAATGACACACAATCAAGAATTAAGGAACAATCTTATTAAAAGCAAGCAAATCATTTAAAAGTCAAGACAGGGCTAAAGAGACGGCTCAGCGGTTAAGAACACTGGCTGCTCTTCCAGAGGACTAGGGTTCAATTCCCAGCACCCACATGGTGGCTCACAACCATCTCTTAACTCTAGTTCCACTGGATACAATGCCCTCTTCTGACTTCCATGGGCACTGGGCATGCACACGGTGCACAGATAGGCAGACAAAATACTCAAACGCATAAAATAATTAATTTAAAAATTATGACGGGGGCCGGGCGGTGGTGGCGCACGCCTTTAATCCCAGCACTCGGGAGGCAGAGGCAGGCGGATCTCTGTGAGTTCGAGGCTAGCCTGGACTACCAAGTGAGTTCCAGGAAAGGCACAAAGCTACACAGAGAAACCCTGTCTCGAAAAACCAAAAAAAAATTAAAAATAAAAATAAAAAAATAAAAAAATAAAAATTATGACGGGGACTAGAGAGGTGTCTCAGCAGTTAAGAGAAGGTACTGCTCTTGGAAAACAGACATCAGTTGGGAAGTTCACAGCTACCTGTAATTCCAGCTCCAGGAACTCCAATACCTGCTTCTGGCCTCTATGTACAACTGCACACTCATGGCATACAGTCACTCAGACACACACATATGCCCTAAAAAAATTATAAAAACAAAAACTCATGGAAGAAAAGCAGACAACTTACCTGTAGGTTATCTAAACGAGCTTGAACTCTTTTGGCCTGGATCTCCATCTTCCTGTTTTCTTCACTTACTTCATTTAGCTAAGGAAGGGGAAAATTACATATTTCAATAGACATTTTAAACTATTTTGATATGAAGGATTTTTCAATATACTATCTAATCTTACCAGATACTTAACTGAGCAGTATAACAAAACAGTCAAAAATCCCCATTTCATTCTAAAACATTAACAGTATCTAGGAAATTTTACATTTTATGAAAAATTTCCAAAACTCCTATGATGGCTAGTGTTGACTATCAACAATCTGTAATCATCCACATGAGCCTTCCGGCATGTCTCCAATGGATTATTCTCTTGATTAGGTTAAATGGAGTGGGAAGACCTACTATTATTCTGAGAGCTTGGGTTCTAGACTACATAAAATGCAGATGCTAGCTGAGCACAGGCATTCATTGCTCCCTGCTTCTTGATTACAGTTGCAAGGTCATCAGCCGCCTCCTCAAGCTCCTACTATAAGACTTTCCTACCCTGATGGACCGTATCCTCAAACTGTGAGCCAAAACACATCTTCCTCCCTTTGGTTGTCTTTGTTAGATATTTTATCAAAGCAACAGGAAAAGTAACAAAGATAATGCCTGGGATCTGAAAAGCCTAATGGGAAATGTTTTGGAAGTATAATATTTATGGACCTTGCACTGGCCGGTTTTATGTCCATGTGACACAAACTGAAGTCATCTGAGAGGAGGAGGTCTCAACTGAGAAAATGTCTCCATAAGGTTGGGCTACAGGCAAGTCTGTAGGGCATTTTCTTAATCAGTGATGGATGGGGGAAAACCCAGCCACTGTAGGTGATGCTGACCCTGGACTCGTGGTCCTGGGTTCTATAAGAAAGCAGGCTGAGCAAACCACGGGGAACAAGCCAGTAAGCAGCACCCTTTCATGGCCTCTGCATCAGCTCCTGCCTCCAGATTCCTGACTGTTTGAGTTCCTGTCCTGACTTCCTTCACTGATGAACAGTGATGTGGAAACACAAGCCAAGTAAACCCTTTCCTCCCCAGTTTGCTTCTTTCTAAATTAATTTATTTTTATTTTATGTGCACTGGTATTTTGTCTGCATGTATGTCTGTGTGAGGGTGCTGGGTCCCCTGGAACTGGAGTTACAGAGAGTTGTGAGCTGCCATGTGGGTGCTGGGAATTGAACCTGGGTCCTCTGGAAGAGCAGTACCTGCTCTTACCCACTGAGCCATCTCCCCAGCTCCTTTGGGGGGGGGGGGGTATCTGTGATTCCAGGCAGGTGATCTACCACTGAGCTACATTCTCAGAAGCTTTAATGCTTTATACATAGGGTTTCCAAGCACCTCACAGTACAAAAAAGCTCCACTATTTTTTGGTAGTAATTGTTTGACTGGAACCTCCAGCTCTCCTGCATGGTCTGAGAAGCCCCATCTCTGTCTCTCTCCAAATCTCTCAGAGAGTCTCCAGCAAAGAAAAGATGCCAAAAGCCCAGTTCTGCATTCTTGGCAGCTGCAGCAGCTCCTGCCCTGAAGTTGCCAGCAGCCCAAGTCCCCACCTAAAGTGTTCAGTCTTTGACCATACTCCGACACAAACCCAGCTTGTGGGAGACATGTCACCACCCCTCGCCTACAGGGTATATAAGCTCATGCTCTAGTTTGGGCACGTGACTTCTCCTGCCTCAATCTCTGGGACTGGAGAACTAACCCAGGAATTGCTTTGCTCAAATAAACCTGTTCTTTTACTTTTTCAATTCGGTTTGATCTAGCTTACTGCGTTGGCAGAGAAACCTATTATCAGGCTACAGAAAACCTATCAGTAATTCTTAAATTATTCATAACAATCTGCTGCAGGCCTCCTGTTTATAAGGGTTGACATCACAGGACACGTCCTCTTTTCTAGATTACTATTCCATTCATTTCGAAGATCCTCAGGCTTCTTTTGCTCCCTTAGATCAGGCAGGTAGAGCACTACCATCACAGGATAGAGAGGGTCTATATCCCTATCCAGCAGTGCAGAAGTTCCAGAAAATGAACCTTTGGCCATCAGTATCCCTTAAGACTAAGGGGATAAAGTCTGACAGGAAAACTGAGGCAGAAAGGACAGACAAAAGTAAGGGTGACAATAACAGAGAGAAAACCCTAATTTAGAGTCTGGTTGAAGTTCTCGCTAGCTCAGAGTCAAAACTGTTGATACAACTAACATTTGCTGTGCAGATTGCTGGCACAGAAATGATATTAATTTTATAGAGCTATATAAATTAAAGTAGCAGTGAACCATGCTTAAGGCCAAAGCATTGATGACCTTTGACTAACACTCTTTTCCTACCATAAACCGAACTTCCTGAGAACCTCTCAAGATTATGACTGTGCTTATAATTTGGGGCTGCAGAGATGGCTCAGTGTTTCAGAGTACTTGTTTGTTGTTCTTACAGAGGACCTGGGCTCAGTTCCCAACAGGGCAGCTAACAACTGTCCATAACACCAGTTCCAGAGTATCCAACACCATCTTCTGGTTTCCCTGGGTATTGCATGCACAGAGTGCACAGACATACATGAACATGAGAAACACCCATGCACATAAAATTAAAACAAATAAATCTTTTTTTAAAGTATGCCTTAACTTCCTTGTAGTTCTTGAGACTGTTTTTATCTTATCAGCCTGCAATCCCATCCAGTGCTCCTCAGGAAACACCTATGGTCTCTTTTACTGAAAAAGAAAGTTTCTTAGGAGCTCTAAGATCAATTGAAATTCAAAAGCCACCAAAACTGTGTATATGGCTATTGTCAAGGCACGTAAGGACACCTCTCTCACTCTCCCACAGCCAGCACCTGTGACTCCTCTTGTTGCTGCCCCCTCTTCCAGCTTGACTTTCGGGCCTGATTTCTATCAGTGATAGAGTGTGACCTGAGAGTTGTAAGATGAAATAAACCCTTTCCTCCCCAGGCTACTTTTTTCTATGGCACTAGAAAGCAAGCTAAATCCCACATGAGTCTTTTCTGAATTGTTCATTCTTTCTTCATTCAATGCTTCAATTTGGAAACTTCTGCTGCTTCTCATCTGTTCTTATAACCATTCTTTTTTTGTTTTTAATTTCCCTCCCAATTCCCTAATAATGAAATCTAGGACCTTGAGACTACTTGGCAAGCACTCTCAACATTCATATTCACTTTTTAGGAAGAAGTTCTTAACTGCAATTGTCCTTTAAAGTTTTAGAATTTCAATTTAATTCCTTTTTATAGTCCATATTTTTAAAAATTACTTTTACTTATTTGCTGTATAGTAGGGATCACAGATGTGGAGGTCAGAGGGCAACTTGTAGGAGTCGGTTCTCATCCCACATGTGGGTCTTAGGAATCAAGCTCAGGTCTTTGGGCTTGGAAGCAAGTACCTTCAACAGAGCCATGTCACCTGTCCCGTGGTCCACACTTTAAGGAAGTTCTCAATCTCCTTTTTTCTGCTTTATTGAGCATATTAAATTTAAAGGCATCATTTTTAATCCCAGCACTCAGGAAGCAAAGACAGATAGGTCTCTGTGAGTTTGAGGCCATCCTGGCCTACACAGCAAGTTCTAAGCCAGCCTGAGGTATACAATGAAACCCTGTCTCAAAACTAAGTGAATGAATGAATGAATGAAATCCACACAGTTACACAGCCCTCTGCTTTGAAGTGACTAAGTTTTGTTTCATTTTTGTCCTTAGCATGCTGGGACTCATGGGCACCACCATGCCCAGTACGTTCCTAGGTTTATCTCAGTCTCTTTCCATCTACTTCTTCCCAATCAATATACATGTGCTGGTTAGTTTTGTCAACTTGATACAAGTCAAAACTTACCTGGGAAATGGGAATCTTTACTGAGAAACTGTCTTCATAGACTGGCCTGCAGGTAAGTTGTGGGTCATTTTCTTGATCAGTGATTGACATGTGAGGAGGACCCAGTTTGCTGGGGGCAGTGCCACCCTTGGGAGATGGTCCTGGACAGTCTAAGAAAACAGGCTGAGCAGGAAGCAGCACCCTTCCACGACCTCTGCTTCAGCTTCTGCTTCAAGTTCCTGCCCTGACTTCCCATTATGCTAGACTACAGCATAAGACTACTACTGTAAGATGAAATAAACACTTTCGTTCCCAAGTTGCTTTTGGTCTTGGTGTTTAATCACAGCAATAGAAACCCTAACTAAGCCAATACACATAATCAGCCCTTTCTCTGTCTTCACCCATATGCCCTCATTTTCACTTTTTAGGTAAAAAATTAACAGAAGGAAGAAATAAAGAAGTTAAAACTCACAGAAACATTTCTGCTAAGCAATTTTAGGATTATGTATTGACAATAATTACAACTCATATATGTGTTATTGTACAATATAGTACCATTTTATACACAAGAAAGAGTATGAGCAAAAAGGCTTATGTCTAGCACAGTGCCCAACATTTAGTAAATACTTGGTTTAAATTAGTAGTAGTACACAGTTATAGTAAGTATTTAAGCCTAAATCAATGTCTAAAAGTTGATTCATTCTCAAATTGCCAAGTTTTTTCTTGTGCTTGCTTTAAAAAAAGAAGTACACAGGTGTGGTGGTTTGAAAGACAATGACCCCCATAGGCCAATGGAAGTGGCACTATGAAGAGATGTGGCCTTGCTGGAGTAGGTGTGGCCTTATTGGAGGAAGTGTCACTAGGGGGTGGGCTTTGAGGTCTCAGAAGCTCAAGCCAGACCTAGTGGCTCATTGTCTCTTCTTGCTGCTTATGTATCCAGATGTAGAACTCTCAGCTACCTCTCCAGCACCATGTCTGCCTTATGCCACCATGCTTCCTGCCATGATGATAATGAACTAAACCTCTGAATTGTAAGCCAGCCCCAATTAAATATTTTCCTTTCTAAGAGTTGCCCTGGTCATGGTGTCTCTTCACAGCAATAGAAACCCCTAAGACAATGGGTGCTTTGTCTGTATGCATGTCTATGCACCAAAAGCATGCAGTACCTATGGAGGCCAAAGAGGGCATCAGATCCCCTAAAACTAGAGTTAAAGACAGTTGTGAACCTCCATGTGTGCTGTGGAATAATGTTCTTGTACACTATAAAGATTTGTCACTTGAATTGGCTTAATAAAACATTGATTGGGCTGGGAGGTGGTGGCGCATGCCTTTAATCCCAGCACTAGGGAGGCAGCGCCAAGCGGATCTCTGTGAGTTCAAGGCCAGCCTGGACTACAGAGTGAGTTCCAGGAAAGGCACAAAGCTACACAGAGAAACCCTGTCTCAGGGAAAAAAAACAAAACAAAACATTGATTGGGCAGTAGCCCAGCAGGAAGTGTAAGTGGAGCAACCACAACCAGACCAGGAGAATTCTGGGAAGAAGAAGGGCAGAGTCAGGAATCTCCAGCCAGACACAAAGGAAGCAAGATGAGAATGCGGCACTGAGAAAAGGTACCTGGCCATGTGGCTAAACATAGGTAAGAATTATGGGTTAATTTTGGGGCTGGAGAGATAGCTCAGTGGTTAAGAGCACTGACTGCTCTTCCAGAGGACCCGGGTTCAATTCCCAGCACCCACATGGTGGCTCACAACCATCTATAGTGGGATCTGATATCCTCTTCTGGCATAAAGTCAATAGAGCACTCATACATAAAATAAATAAATCTTAAAAAAAAAAAAGAATTATGGGTTAATTTTAAGTGTAGAGCTATGGGGGGGATGGAGAGGTTAAGAAGAGCACTGACTGCTCTTCCAGAGGTCCTGAGTTCAATTCCCAGCAACCACATGGTGGCTCACAACCATCTGTAATGAGATCTGGTGATCTGGTGCCCTCTTCTGGTGTGCAGGTATACATGCTATATACATAATAAATAAATAAATAAATCTTTAAGTGCAGAGCTAGTTAGTAATAAGCCTGAGATAATGGTCAAGCATTTGCAATTAATATACGCCTCTGAGTGATTATTTGGAAGCCTGCTGTAGGACAGGGCGGGACACAGAAAAGCCTCTCACTACACATGTGGATGCTAGGAGCTGAACTCAGTCCTCCAGAAGAGCAGTCAAGGGTCATAATCACTGAGCCATCTTTCCAGTCCCTGGGCTTGTTGTTAATCTAGTAAAGTTATTTTTAATTTTTTTAATTGCCAAATATATCAGCTATTTGTCAAAGCAGATGAAAAAGAAGCAAGAATATAAATATTTTATTAATGTTTACAAGAATCTTATAATAAAGCTAACAAATTTAATAAAATTCTAGCTGAAATGTTTTAAGGCTTACTTAGATTTCCTAAATACAAGTGTTAAATATTAGCATCTAATATAGATGAAGTAGGTCTTACCTGTTTTTTTAAGCTATCATTCAGCTCTCTCAGAGCATCAAATGAGGACCTCATTCTCTTGCTCTCTTTACTCTTTTCCTTAAGCGCTTCCGTTAAGTGTTCAACTTCTGTGCTGTGTTGCTAAAAGAGGGAGAAATCTGATCTAAATGACAGCTGAGGGCCCAACACACCCAAGGCCCTGAGTTAAATCCTCACAAAAATCATTTACAAAATAAATCAAATGCTACTGAACATAAATTAACTAAAAAACAGAAATTCTTCCATCATGAAAACCCCAATCAATGTGTTTAAGCATAGGTATGAGGTAGTGTGTGTGTGTGTGTGTGTGTGTGTGTGTGTGTGTGTGTGTATGAGTAACTCTAACCAAGAGAGTAAAGGCTTGTATAATAAATATTTTAAGACACTGAAGAAGATATCAGAGGATGGAAACATCTCCCATGCTCATAGATCAGTAGGTTTAATATTATAAAAATGGCCATCCTACCAAAAGCAATCTACAGATTAAATGCAATCTGCAATCCTCATCAAAATCCTAACATAAGTTTTCACAGAAAATTAAAACAAAACAAAACAAAAACAAAAACAAAAAAAAACCCCACAGATACAGCTGAGTTGAGCTCATGAGGGCTCACAGACTCTGGACCAACAGCTAGGGAGCCTACATGCGACCAACCTAGGCCTTCTGCATGTACGTGATAGTTATATAGCTTGCTCTGTTTATGTAGCTCCTAGCAGTGGGATCAGGACCTCTCCCTGGCACTTAATCTGGCTTTTGGGAACCTACTCCCTATGGTAGGATGCCTCGCTTAGCCTTGATGCAGAGGGAGGAGCTTGCCCCTGCCTCAACTTGATGTGTCATGCTTTGTTAACGCCCATGGGAGGCCAGCCCCTTTCTGAATGGAGATGGAGGAGGAGTGGATGGGGAGAGGGGATGTGGAGGGGAGGCAGTGGGGAGGGAACAGGAGGAAAGGTGGGAGGGGAAACTTTGATCGGGATGTAAAATAAATGAAAAATTTTAATTAATTTAAAAAAAAAGATGGACCTTATGCCTGACACTGCTAAGGTGGCCAAGAACCCAGGACTAGACAGGCCATGGACTTAGAGGAAAACCAAATATTATTGTTCTGCTAAAAGAATGTAGCAATAAAATGACTCCTAATGATATTCTGCTATACTCATAGACCAGTGTCTTGCTCAGCCATCATCAGAGAAGCTTGTTCCTGCAGGAGACGGGAACTAATGAGAGCCAGAACTGGACAATGAGCTGAGAGTGAGAGACCCTGGAACACTCAGTCCTAAACAGGATGTCTTCATCAAATCTCTCCCCTCAGGGCTCAGGGCCCTATGTGGATGAGGAGGCAGAAAGATTGTAAGAGTCAGTGGGATGGAAGACACCAAAAAAATGGTGCCTTCCAACCCAAGACTGACACACATATGAACTTAGAGTCTGTGGTAGCATGTACAGGGCCTGCATAGGTCCAAACCAGACGGGATCCTAGCGCTGAGAAGGTAAGTGGACCTGAACCCCAACCCTTAACCCAGAAGCTATCTTCAATTGTCAACCAACCACAATAGAAAAGTTGGTTTTCTCCTATAGGGTCTCACCGGATATACAAACCACACTTAAGGGCAGGCCCCACAAGCAGCAGTGGATAGCCAACACAAAATGAACTCAATGGTCTTTTTAGAGATTGTTTTTGTCTCACAACGCTTTGTTTGGGCATTTTTTACCTAACGGGTCTTTTGCTTACACAGTATGGTTTCTGGGTTTGTGTTTTTATGGGTAATGTGGTTTTTGTTGTTGTTGTTGTTTGTTCTTCTCATGCTTTTTCTCTGTTTTCTTTTTCTATTTGTTTTTATTTGCCTGTTTGTTTCCTAAAGAGAGAGAGAGAAAAAAAAGACATGGAGTTGGATGGGTGGGGAGGTAGGGAGGATGTGGGAGGAGATGAGGGAGGCAAACTAAGATCAGCATATACTATATGAAAAATATTTTCAATAAAAAAGAAGGAAATAAAGTGTGCATAAGTGGGCGCAAAAAGAAAGAAGAGAGAAGCAAATATGGCAAGAATGTAATAATTAATGAAGCGAAGAAAAAGAATTACTCTCTGATCCAATGCTGTATAATCACCTCCTTTAAAATTTGAAATCTTGTCTGAACCTCTTCCTCAACACCTTTAATTTTGCTCAAGGCAGTTTCATGTCTGAAGAGCAGCTGTTCTCGTTCTGCTAAAAACTGTTCCCGCTTCTGAAGTTCTTCAGCAAATTTCTGCTGGGATGCAGTTTCACACTACCAAAACACACAATTTAAATGGGTTTTCTTAATTAGTTCACAAATTCTGCAATTTATGCTTTAATCCCCTGATACTGTTTAATGAAATGGATTTTGCCAGTGTAAAATAGTGTGGTCACTCTGGAACAGTCTGGTAGTTCCTCAAAAAATGTTCAACATAGTTACCATCTGACTCTAGCATTCCAACAGAAATAAAAGCATATGTTCATACAAAACTTAAACACAAATGATCACAGCAACATCATCACAATAGCCTAAAATGTAAACAACCTATAACTAGTTAGTTTTAACTGTTGACTTGACACAACCTAGAATTACCTGGGCAGACTGTCTTAACTTAGAATTACCTAGTTCAGGTTGGCCTGTGAGCATGCCTATGGGGGACTGTCTTGCCCAGCCCATTGTGGGCGATACCATTCCCTTGGCAGGGGGTCTTGAGCTATATAACAAAAAGCTAGACGAGTAACATACATTTATCTGCTCTTGACTGTGGATATGATACCACTAATTGCTTTTTAGTTCCTGCTGCCTTGACTGCCCCACTGTCATGGACTGCAACCTGGGATTGCAAGCCACTAAACCATTCCCTCCCCGTGCTGATTTTTGCCTGAGTATTTATCACAGCTACAGACATGAAGCTAGGGCACAACCCAAATGTCCAGAAATTAATGAATAAAGAAGAAAAACGTGGTATATAACAGAGCAGTATTTAGCAATAAAAAGCAGGGACTGATACATGATTCAACAGGAAATAACTTTAAAAGTACACTAAGTGGAAGGATCCAGGAACAAATTACTACATACTATATAGGATAGTGTATATAAAACATCCCAGAATGGACAAATCTAAAGAGACAGAAAGTAGATTAGTGGTTGCCTTTTGGGGATGATGAAATATTCTAAAATTGGTTGGGATGGTATGCAACTCCATGAGTATATTAAAGATAATAACACATTTAAAAATTAATGCGTTATGAATTTAAAATGCAGTTTTCTAGCTCAGAGCCAAGAGTCACTGTGCTGGTTAGTTTTCTGTCAGTTTAGACTCTGAGTTTATAAGAGTCCTCTAGGACGAGAGAAACTCAACTCAGAAAAAAATCTCCATCAGACTGACCTTTAGGCAAGTCTGTGGGGCATTTTCTTGATTAATGGTCAAAGTGGGAGGACCTAGCCCACTAAGGCAGTGCCTCCCTTGGACAATTGGTTCTGGGTATAAGAAAGCAGGCTGAATAGCCAGATGGTGGCGCACACCTTTAATCCCAGCAATGGGGAGGCAGAGGCAGGCGGATCTCTGTGAGTCTGAGGCCAGCCTGGGCTACAAAAAAGTTCTAGGACAGCCAGGGCTATGCTGAGAAACCCTGTCTTGAAAAACCAAACCAAACAAACAAACAAAAAGTAGGCTGAGCAAGCCATGGAGAGCAAGCCAATAAATAGCATTGCTCTACTGCCTCTGCTTCAGTTTCTGTCTCGAGTTTCCATCCTGACTCCTCTTCAGAGGACTATGATCTGGACAGGTGAGTCAGATGCACTCCCCTCCCCAAGCTGTTTCTGGCACAGTGTCTTATCACAGCAGTAGAAAGCAAACTAGAGCAGTCATACATCAGAACCCCCAAAGCTACAAACCAAAGCAAGCCATTTGTGATTGTTTTAAACTGAAATCAGAGCTCCTGACAGTACCCAGCCTGGTCTCAAATTCAGGGAGGGGCTCAAGTGCTCCTCAGCCTTCCAAACAGCTGGGGCTCCAGATGTACACCACCTCGTGGGACACTCATTTGGCTTCCTAAGTTGATTGTTTCAAGTGCTTTGTTATAGAGACAAGGTACTAACTGAGTACATAAAGGACTCCCAAATTAGACACTTACCCAAGATCAATTTGACTGTCTGGCTGATGTGTTTAACTGCTGGAGCAACCCAAACTCACCCAACCAAATCCTTCTCTCCTGAAATCCACTTTCCTTCCCTCTGCGCAGACCAGACAGGAAGAACTGTGTGAGGGTCTCACTTCCTCTATGCTTCCTCCAGATCTGCACACCAAGCTTAGCCATTCACCTCCGTACTAAGTATCTACTCTCTCCAGCTCTGTTCCTCCACCACCAGCCTGCTCCATGTCACCACTGTCTCTCTCATCCAGTAGAGTACTATCTAGGCTCCTGAATTCCACATCTATACTCCCCTCCAATCAATTCACATAAGCACAGAGCAGCTTATGTAGCTGTCCTGCTATAAAAATCATCAGATGTTTATATTTTTCTTGAGTCAAGAACTTTTCGTGCAAGAAATGGATCAATCTAGAATGAATTCCTCTCACTAATTAGTGTTAAATGCTCATTCTTCAGGATTTAATTTAAATGTCAGAGAAACCTTACCTGACTTCCCATTCTCCCTTTATCAGATATCCTTGATATACTTCTATTATTCTTCCATTTAAAGTTACAAAATTAGCCTGGCTTCGTGGTACAAGTTTGTACCCTTGCTCCCGAGCACACCAACTTAGGCAGGAGGATGAGAATTCTAGGATGGCCTCAACTACATAGTGAGTTCAAGGTCAGCCTGGGCTAAGCTAATGAGATTGTGTGTGTGTGTGTGTGTGTGTGTGTGTGTATTAACATGGGTACTCATTATTTCTTCTAATAAGCTCCATGTAGCAGGGCCCTGTATATTTTATTCACTTGCATAGATATACAGCATTG